TGAGAGATTCGTGGATACAAGTGACTACCCCAAAGGGAACATCCCCAGGATCTTTAACTCTGCAGTCCTTCAGGACCACTGGCGGACCACTTGGTATGCAAGAAGTATAGCCATTCATCTCCCGATCTCCGGCAAAGGCCCGACCTCCGGATATAAATTAGCTTTTGTTTAGCATTCAATGCAAGCCGCCTTTTCCACCGGCCATCCCTCTGCCCTCGGTTGATCCACCGTTGGACAGCCACCTGCTCGAACAACCACCCTCGGCAATCCGGTGCAATTAATGTAGCCACTAGCTGCCTCTCGCTCGAGCCAATTAAACATTCGCGATTGCCGTGAAAAGGAATCGCCTCGGATGTTAAAAGGGAATTAAATTCCCAGGGGCATTGAGCCCGGTAGTTGGACGAAAAAAAAAAAAGAAAAGAAAAGGAATCTCCTCCTCCGATAAATAGTTGGAAGGAGAGGAGAGAGAGAAAGGAAAACAAGACTGCATCAAGAGAGAATTCAGTTTCCGCCGAGTAACTTTTCACTTCCGGTCGAGTCGTCGATTCGCGTCGAGGATTTTTGGAACTCGTTTGGAAATCGATTTGGTAACTTCGCACGGTAATCTGTATTTCCGTGGCAAATTCCCGGCGGGGAGAGACAGAATAACGAAACGTGCGAGCCGAACGGCTGAAAAATCGCAATGAAGATAAGCGAGGAAACGGCAGAAACGTCGGCTACGTGAGGTACATTGTCCGTCGCCGAATCTAGGAGGTTTAATCTATCATTACGCGGCGGAGAAGGAACAACCGTCGGGGGCGAAAAGCCGCGGGTAACTAGCGGCGAATAATTAATAAATGCGAGGATGCATTAGTATGCGTGGCGTAGGATGAGTTCGTGCGGGCCGTGAAGTCGGATGAAACGCGGACGCGAGACCGTGCCCGAGAAAGAGAAAGAGGGAGGGAGGGAGGGAGGGAGAGAGAGACAGAGAGAGAAGCACAGAGTCGCAGGAATTATAAAATAATAAAGAGAAAATTACGTAATGTGGAGGATCAGATGAGAATTAGAGGACAATGTAGACGGGGTAAACCAGCGCCGTCTAACGGGCTAGACCACCTAGAGGGAGGAGGTGTGGGGTGTGGATGGGAGGGTTGGAAAATAGGGAAGGGGAGAGAGACGAGCAAAGGAGTGGAATACGGAGGTCGAGGACCAGACGTCTTAATGTCTGCATCGTTGAGAATGCGTCCCTTGCGCATGACTAGCTCTCCTCCGCGAGCTTACTATCCTTCCGATAAGAAGCTCCGTTTTCGACGGAATAAACTCGAAACCATTTTCGAAATTCTTCTCCTCTCCGTTGAAACACAAACGTCTCGCGCAGCGGAACGGCGAGGCAATCAACGAGGGAACCGTCGTATCCTTCTGTTGGAAAGATCAATGGAATCTTGGGAGAATTCATTAAAGAAACTGGTGGCATGAGGGAATCACACGAAAATTTATCGAACACGTAGAAGGCGCGATCTTGTCCGCCTTCGCCGCTAATCGGGCTTCCTAATTAGTAGTCAGACTACGTACAGCCGGCTGCGACTTTATAAATGGTAACAATGTTATGTAATTAGGTAAAAAGTTCTGTAATCAAGAAGTAGATCTTCTCAGGCGCGGTGCTCTTTGTCTCTCTCTCTCTCTCTCTCTCTCTCTCTCTCTCTTCGGCTTGATGCCGAAGTCCGGAGTCCTCCCCTCTCATTCGTATTAAAATAGTCTCGCTAGGAAAGCGTGCGTTGTGCCCTGCATATCTTAAAACCCAGGGGTTGCAAGTGAGAGAGAGAGAGAGAGAGAGAGAGAGAGAGAAAGTCTGGGGCTAAGATCCGCCATCCCCATCCGGTTCTGATTTTTCTTGCGATTCATATTGCCAAGCGGACGAAAGAGTACTCCGGATTACGTTCCAAGGAAGACCGTGGCGTTTTCAACCCCCCCCCCGGTTTTTAAATTTCGCCGATATTTCCGCACGCCTCGAAGAAAAGAAAAAAAAAAAAGAAAGAAGAAAGAAACATTTCTTCGCCCCTAGAGCTGACGGAGCGTGCGTGGCGAGCAGTTTATAATACCAACGCGAAATTCACCGGGTTCTAATCGCGTCTACCGATCGGCCGCGATAAATTCAACCGCCTTTAATTATTTCGCAAGGCGCGGAGAGAACCAGCGCGGCCGGTTTATTCGAGCGGTTACAATGTTTAATGAAACAGGATCGAACGAGGCACGGCTAGGTACAACGTTTGCACGTGCACGATCGGCATTAGTCTTGCCGATATCATCGTATCGGTCGAGGATCATTCGCGAAGTCAACGAAACCACGCCGAAACTGTTGACGTCAGCCCTTCCAGCAAAGAATATACTCGTACTGAGCCGACCGATGATCTCATTGTCCAACACACATACGCAAGCGTAACTAGCCCCCTCCGAGTCTTTTTCGCGTGTATATCACGGGATCGTGCCGCGTTCCTGGCAAACACGTGTGCGTTTCTCGGGCTTCTTAGAAAACGGGCGAGCGAATACGTGTTCCACGTCGCATGCATAATTTCCCTTCTACGGGCAACTTCTTCTTCCCGTTGCCGGACGAATTATCACGCGCGTCGCCTTGGAAAAAGTCGCCCGACTTTTCCTTTATCGAACGCGGGGAACTTCGCGCAGCAGCGGAGGAGTAAAAAGAAACGAATCGAGTGGCAGAGATTTGGAACGGGTAATGTGGAATGTATTGGAGAGCTCGGTGTTCCTTCTGTACGCGAGCCAATACGCGAATGATGGAATTTCTGGATTCTACCGTTCTATGAAACTAAAACTATCCACTGGGAAATAAATCAAAAAATCGCCGAATCTGAAAATTCTATAAAATTCCTGTCCAAAAGAAATTGTGGATTTTTCATTTTCTCTGACCACTTCCACGATTACGAGGAGTACGAAATAACGCAAGATTAATTCCTAAAATTTAATTTCCCCGAAACTTGCAACTAGGGTTATTGCACTTTTCTACGTTTAACGATTCAACGAATCGTTTTCGCTCGAATGTGCAAGGACAAATTGCAAGGTAAGTTCGATCGCGATGCACAGACGATCTCAAGCGGTTTACACGACTGCGTGCAAAAAGGATACGTACGATGTAGGTAGCATTGTATCGGCGTACTGACACACCGAGACCGAACGATTTCAATAAACAAGCCTGACGCACACGTACGTGCAAAGTGGCACGAATGGTTTTTTCCTAGAGTCGGCTACGTGCGTGGGCAGTATCGGCTTTGCTTCCCTATCGCACGTAAAAGCCAAGATAAACATTATTTATTTTTTTTTCGTGTTTTTCTCTTTCTCTCTCTCTCTCTCTCTCTCCTTCTTTCTCAACCGCGTGTATATTGATTATAAACGGGCGTGTGGGCGCGTGTACGTGTAATTCGCGCGCGTTGTGTCGCGCGCATAAGCATCGGTGAATGAAGACGTTGTATCGCAATAAGACGATGCACGGTTGCCATTCGATAAAACAAAATCCGGCGGACATTCGAACGCGGATATTTGCTCGCGGATCGTCGATGTAAATCGCTGGTAAAATACGACGAAGGCCCGGTTACGTTAACCACGTTGGCGATTGCGTGTTACGTTTGTTCCTCGTTGCTTCGTATCGCGTACGATTTAGATTGCACGTCACTCTCCGTTTATTTAACTTTGCCAGCACGCGCATTATTTGCGTTACAATACAGCGTTTACGTCACGGAGCCCCTTGGCATTTGGTGAAAATGTGCATTCTTTTAAATAACGATATATCAAGTTGCCGTTTCGCTCGAGAGTAAACGGGTAAATAAACCGTCCGTATGATCCAATCGCGTTGTGATGCAAATTTCACGGGTATCGTCGCGCTCACGTTGAACAATTCCTTTGTCCAAAACACGTAAACGATCATTACGTCGGATACAAAGCCGAAATTATCTGCTGCAGGCCAGATAATAACATCTAGCGCTTGAGACTTTCCACCGATCTTGCCGAATCCCTCGATTTTACAATCCCCGTTCGCCGAGCGATACGAGGGATGGAGAGAGAGAGAGAGAGAGAGAGAGAGGGTAAAAAAAGGGAGAAATTACTTTGGACGCGTAAAGTTTTCCCTAAATCGTAGGACACGTTTCTCTCGTTAAGGGTGGTCGACGGATAAGTAACGACGGCGCGGCGCCGAGTGCCGGCGGAGTGGTCGGTCGAGAGAGTAACAGCGGGACTGGATAGGGTGGGCGCGCGAGTTAGGTGGTGGAGGACGCGGCAGCAGGCTGGAATTAAATAAAAATAAAACGCGAGATAATAACGTTAGCGAAGGAACCGAGAGCCCAAGACAAATAGCCCAGGGAAAACAAAGCGTATTATAAATACCGGGTGACAGGACGAGTTGGTGAGCGGGAGAGTGAGCGGTGCGAGCGAGCAAGAGGGTAGTTTTCAACGGGGCCGAGGCGGCCAGGAGAAGGAAAAAGGGGGGTCGGTCGGTGGTTGGCAACGACGACGACGACGACGACGACGACGACGACAACGACGACGAGAGGACGATAGTGGCCGTGTCGTGTCCTGCGAGAAAGAGAGAAGAAAACGCTCGGAGGAAAGCAGCCAACGATGCCCCTCTAGCATTTTTGCTACCTGCGGACACAATGAGTGGCCGGATTTCTTTTTCCGCGGTCGTTACTCACCCTCCCGCCGAGGGATAGTATTCTTATCCAAGCCGGAATTACAAATTTCAGACACCGAGCCCTTGTGTCGGACAGGATTCTGACTGCGCGTTATATTCTTCCTCCAAAGTGGCTTTGCTTCGCGCGCTCTCCTTTTACAATTACCCTCTCGCCCGCTCCCCCTTTTTTATTCACTCTCTTTCCCCCGTTTCTTTCTCTCTTTCTCCCCCTACTCTCACGTTTCTCCCTTTCACGTTCTTCATTCACTTTTTTTTTTGGCGTTCAGACAGAAAACCGACGAAACATGTATCACGGCGAGTGCATGTATCATGGGTTACTCACACTGGGACGAGCGTGGCCGCGCGGATTCAGCTGCCAAGGAACCGTCGAAGGTTGGAACTGCTCCTTTCCCCACGAACCGTTGTCGAACGGATTCTCACCGATGTGTCCCTGCAATGAAAAGTTCACCAATCAGTATCGCCACGATTTTAAACATTCCAGTCAGTCGTATCTTTCACTCTTCCACTCTTTCACTCTTTCACTCTCACCAATCAGCAAATTCGAACGAAATCACAGCGACACGGCTGCTTTCTTTCGATAGAACGGTTCGTTAACGCGAAGAAGGGAAGAACTCGGCTTCCTCTCCGACAGTTTCGCGAGAAAATATTTATTCCTCGCGCGGTATTTTCCTCCTTCTTCGCGAGGAGAGCGAGCGAATCCCTCTCGCGAAGAAAGGAGAGACATCGATCTCCAAGAGTTCGCAGTTTCCAAAGTTTTCTTTTTTCCTTTTTCCCCTGGATGTTCGTTCACGCAGCGGCGAGCTTATTTTTGTAATATATTCCGCACCCTACTCGTCGCCCCTTTCTCGACTTTGCACCCCGCGTAAGCCTTATTTTTCTTTTAACTTTATTTCTAACCTAGAATCCTGCCACTGCGAGAGATGGCACGCGCATAAATCAGCCGGTATAATGAGAACACTTCGTCTTCGGCCGGCTCGCCCTCTCGCTCGCAGACGCATCCCTTACGGGCCGGCTATTATATCATTCTTTACTTCGCTCGTGGATTTCTGCCCACCGCGATTATATTAATATTCGTTCGCACGACTCGGGACTTTGCCCTCAATCTCCTGGTCTTCCATCCAACGCGATTTCGATACCTTCACCATACCTTGAGAAGATGATGCTTCGACCTCCCCCAAATGTTCTCTGCTATTTCGTTCTTTGTTCTTTTTCTCTTTCTCTTTTCCTATTTCTTTTCGCAAATTTTTGCTAAGTTAAATCAAACGAAACGAATAGAAAAAGATTCGAAAAGGGAAACAGTTTAATCTAGAAATTGTCTCTAATTGATCTTCCTGATCTTCCGGAAGTGACCGAATGACAGCCAAGGACTACAGAGTACCGCTCTGAAAACGCACACGCAGCGCTGTGTATTTTTTCACCAAACAAACTTTCATTGCGGTTGTTCAGCTAGGCATGTACTTGGTACTCGCTGCACCAGCAATGCCTCGTCAGCGCGGAAGACCGAGTATCGCAATTAGCCGTATTGAATCAGTGGAATTCCTGCATAATCAGAGATCCGTGGAATTAATCGTCGTTCCTATTACGTCCCCGATCGAACGAGCTACAAATCAACGAAGGCAAGCCAGGCGAAACTATATTTTCTCACGAACGGTTTTTCGAACGAATATCGTCCAACAATCGACGATTACCTCGACGAGTGCTCGGGCCGTGTTTCGTCGTTTTATTGCGACCGGTGTACAAAGAGACGATGTTCCGCTCGCGACGAGGTACAAGGCAGAAATAAACAGTGGCGGCGGAAAATAATGAACCGGATAGCATATATAAATACCTTGGGCGACTATTGAAGCACATTGTGCGCTTCATTTGCATGAGGCAGCCGCGTTCTCGACGCGCAGCTGGACATACACGCGACAAAAGAAACGCGCAAACAAAACACGCAACGCGGCCGCGTCGTGTGCCATGCAGAGGCCTAAAGTTTCGCGTTCCACCTTCTCGACCATCGGCGATGCATCCGATGCATCCGGTGTCAAAGCAGCTTCGACGCAAACATTGTTTCATCTTCGTTCTTTCAGTCGTTGCGTTCTTTCGGTCGTTGTTCTCATTCGTCTTTGTCTCCGTCTTCGTCGTTCCCCCACTGTCCTACATACCTTGTTTTCGATACACAAGGCGCGTTGTGGATGCAATTAGCGAACGAACGCGATTCACGTCGAGAATTTGTTGCCACGTGGACAGATGGATGGATTAACGAGCGACGAGCGTGAGAGGAGCGCATAACTTGCCCGATTTCGACGATGCGTTGGTAGCGTGCACGAACGTTCGCGAGCCGCGATGAACGATAAGCGAGCAGTATCGAGTAATCGACTCGAACGCGGAGATTACATTTGTCGGAGATTTGACGGATCTCCCACTACCGTTGCGTTGACAGCATAAAGGTTACGTGTATAGATAAGATATTTAAAAATAAATCTCCAAAGGGCGAGGGAAAAAAGCAGCACATTTAGTCTGGTATAAAAGCGTTCTTAACACTTAAATCTAACGTGCAATGTCAAGAGGAGAGATTTTCCACAAGCGGGCACATCGAGATGTTTCTCTCGGAAATATTGCCAGTAAATTTTTACGAAAATGAAATTCCAATTGCCGTTTAGTTTCCCTCCTTGCAACTGCAAGCTGACAATTAACAACGAAGACAATACCGAGAAACAATTGTTGAGGAAACAATGCATCGTTCAGTTCAGGGAATCCCGGAATGCGTGCAAGTGGTGCAGCATCGTGAGGCTTTGGAAATAACGAGTTGGTATTATTTTTCACTCGACAGGCAGAATTTAATTTGTCTGCCTGCCAAATACGACGTCACGAATGAGACAATATCGAGAGAAGGTTCTTCGAAACGTCGAGCGGCGAGAATGTAAAAATGTAAAGAAGGGCGTAAAATTAGTATACAAGGCGGAAATATAAACGATGATCGACGAAGATTACTCGGGGAGTTCCTTGTAAGATAGTCTCCGGCGAAATGAAACGTTTTATCAGTCGGTCTCGTGTCTGCAAAGGGGCTGGCGAAGGAGGACGGTGACGGAGGCGCGAGAGAGCCCAGTGATTGTAATCATATTTTCAGTGGGGACGGATTTATGCAACGCACCGCGTCGTCTCTGTACATAAAACGCATTTAAAATTCTCCAGGCAGCCGGGAAAGGTGGCTGCTGTCCCTGTCGATGGAACAGCCAGGCCGGGAAAGAGGGGGAGGAGGCGGGAGGAGTGAGGGGTGAGAGGGTGGCGGAGCGCCGCGGGGGTTGTAATTGGCAATATCTATCGAATTTTACAATAAATCTCACCGAACCCCGAAGGAGAGCCGACGGGGGTGGGGCGTAGCAATAAAACACCGGGTAGTATCGCGAGGGGCTGCCACACCATGCACTTAACGACTTATCTTATCTTGGAATTAGGTCGCGGTTAGAACTCCTTTAATCCGGAACCAGCACGAATGCCAAACGTGTGTATCCCATGTTAATTATAACCCGGAAAATTCACGACGTTGAATGATCAATAGACATTTGCGTTATCTCTATTTTGCGCTGTTTACCGAGGAAAGGTTTGCATTAATAGAAAGATGACTGCGTAGAAAATTTTGACGGGGAGGCAACTCCAATGTTTCAATTTTTTACTGTCACGTATAACGTTGGTTGTTGATCGTGAGAACGGTTTGATTGGTTTTGTCGCAACTGCTAGAGAAGCAGCCCCTCCCCCAATTGGTAAAAGTTTCAAGGTAAATAGACTGGGATATCTTTTGGAAATAGTGGATAATGTGTGGATAATGATTGGAGCGACTAGACCTTGAAGAGAACCAGGCGTTAATATTTATTCTGATTCAAACTGGTCTCAAACGACCCACCGTAGTGATGCAGTCATAGACGTAATTGATGTTGACTTCACGGTTTAGAAAACCGTCGTTTCACGCGCGCAGATAACACAATCTTTTCCGCGAAAACGTTGCCAACACGACATACGCAAGAGCTAGGCCTATCGCTGTCCAAGAAGACAGCAACCTAGAAAAATTGCAACACTTCAGAATTGTACTTTCTTTCGCGAAACTTGAAACAGCCCTTTGCACGTCGGACTCGCGTGGACCGTTCGAACGACGAAATTCACGGGACAAGCAAACGGCTTGAGAGAGAAGGAGTTAAGAAATTTCCAAACACAAGAACGGTATCTGCGGTCCCGTCAATTTTTATTCCCGGCCGTTAAGTCTTGTAACGCCAGCAAATAGAGGCTCGAGCAAGCGGCCGAGCAAACGAGTTACAGCCGTGGGGCCTCTAAAAATAAATATGTTGTTTATTCACAAGTAAACCGGATGCCGTTGTTTGCTTTGGAGCAAATTGTTTTGTTAAGTTTTGCCGTGCGAGAGAACGCGGCCTGTTACGCATATGTATGTGTGTGTGTGTGTGCGCGCGCGCGCGCCTATCATATCTGTGCGCGTGTGTCCTTGCAGATGAAGCGCGAGCGTGTGCGGGAGAGAAACGGTTTACCAGGAGGCGGGAGAACAAGAAAGAGTAAAAAGGAAGAAAGAAAATACACGTGAAGTCAACCATCCTCTCTTCTGTCCGCGCTTTTTCCGGTACGTTTTGCTCCTCCTGTTGCTAGATGCCTCCAGCTGTACGCAGATCCCGACATACATACATATAACGAACAGACCGTTCCCTCACAGCGTGAGCCGATCTCGCGGCCGATCGATCGCGAGATCGCCAACGTGATTAAAATCATTCGGCGGGGTGGGGCGGGAAATTGGAGCGAAACATCGAGTCGCGACTTAATTGTACGAACGAAGGCGAGGAGGAGGAACGATAAAGAGAAAAAAAAAGAAAAAAAAAAAAGAGAAGAAAAGGGCAGATAAAAGAGCGTGAAACGAGGGGTAAAAGTGTTTGTCAACTAAAAATCAAAGAAACAATTTTTCCGCGGACGCTACTTTGCACCCTTCCGCTCGGACGGTACGGAACTTCGGGCGAGCGTTTTGCCGAAATAAAGCGGTAAAATCCTACAAAGGCCGTCGCGCAGAGGCCGGGTTACGCGAACCGTTCTCAAGACCAGAAAAACGTGAACACGAGAGAGGGCCGTGAGAAAATGAGGGAACGAGGAGCGGGGCGGGACAGGGGGGAGGGAAAAAGGAAAAGAGAGATTCAAAGAGGGTGACGGTGAAGAGGAGGTGCAAGAGGTTGGAAAACGCCGTTGGAAGAGTCGAGAACAACGGCCCGGTCTCGTCTACGGGTCGGGCTAATTACAAAACACAATTAAAATGGTATCACGAAAACGGCGCTAAGTAATATCGTTTCAACGGGCACCGAGTCGAGTTTCACCGGACACCCGGTACAGATTCGTAGATTAATGCTCTTTAATAAACAGACCCTACAACACAACGGGTTGTACACCGCTGTTTTTCGC